TTCCGAAAAATATTTCATTATTTGTTGAAGTTGATCTAAGTTATCCTAGTTCGTTACATGATCTACATAACGACTCTCCGTTTTGCGCAGAGTCACTGACGATTGATTATAGTTTATAATCGCCTGAACAACGTGCAATGACTACGGAAAATAATTATATCGTGAACAAGTTAGTTCCTAATTTGTAAAATAAAAAAATACGTTATGCATTACAAAAATCTAAAAGAAGCAGTATATGCTGGACTAATTTTGAAACAAAATGTCCATCGAGTGTTACAATTTAATCAGTCGCGGTGGATGGCAGATTATATTGATCTAAAGACGAAATGTCGTGCCGTAGTTAAAACCGAATTCGAGAAAAACCTTTTCAAGTTAATGAACAATTCGGTGTTTGGTAAGACTATGGAAAATATACGGAAACGGATCAATATTGAGATAGTTAATGATGTCATTCGCAGAAATAAATTAATGAATGATGATGGTTTTATTAGTATAAAAATATATAATGATGATCATGCTACAATACAGCGACCAAAGGCAAATTAAAGTTGAATAAATCGATTTATTTTGGTGCAGTTGTACTTGATATATCAATGTGATTGATGTACGATTTCCATTATAATTTTACCAAAAGTGTTGCCAGATTCAGAGTTGATATTTACTGATACAGACTCGGTATTTTATTATATAAAATGTGAAAATGTCTATCAGGATATACATGATAATACAGGTTTGTTCAATTTATCAAATAATATGTCAATAAATGGCATCACATCATCTGCCCAACCCGCTATTCCCACATTATTTTCAGTCGCGAATAACCATACTGATCTATATTTCGGTGATATATGATATCCTACATTTTTAATGCAATCGCTTATTATTTTCGGTTTCATACCAGAATATGCTGACCCTGATTTGATTGAATTAAATCTTTTCTAAAATCTATTTGTTGAATCAAATCCAACATGTCTGATCGAACAATATAAGGACATTATATAATATTTCATTTGTTAAATACAACAGTTTTTAACTAATAAATATATAGTATTAGATATAGGTGATGCATCCTAGCTCAGAAATATTTCTCCTCCCAACTGTACTTTTGTCAGAAAAAGCTTGATCGTGTCAAAGCCATCATTTTGAGCTAACAAAGACTGCTGACAAAGATGTTAACATAGAACATTTTGGGTGCCAGGGGTCTCTGAGATAGGAACATTATCTATATTTACTACTGATGTGCTAGTAGTCTTGTCTATACTAATGTGCGAAAAGTCTTGATGTAACACAGTGATGTAAGATCTGAAATGTCCTTGAATGAACTCAGAGCAATACCAAAATTGTAATTAGGTCCGTAAGGTCGAAGAGCACTTTGCAAATCAAATGAATAATTTCAATGATTAACGAGTCTCCAAAATTAACTTAAACTGATATGGATTCCTCTAAAGACGGATGTTATGATAGGAGTGAGTAATTTATATAAAATCAGAGACACAGTAACTGAATCAGGATGAGGGTAGTTTTTCCTATCAAATTCCTAAACAACTTGCTTCTAGCTCATTATTATGTTCCAATAAAGCTACTCCTCTCAGTTCACGTCATTAAACACGTTTACCTCCAGTGAATAATGGTCTTGAAACATAATCTAAATTCATAACAAGTATGAGCCATGCAATATATTATTTACCAAAACTTCCCAAACAATTTGAGTATTCAGGCAGGTCTTTGCCCTCAAATTTTGACCAAGGATAACCACACAATACAATTTAAGGATTGGACGGGTCAGTACGCCTGTGGCATGAAATCAACAATATATTAAAGCGTGGTGCAAATTGTAACTTATAGAAGGAAATGAACAAACTTCTGTTCACAAAAAAATGTGGATATAAACCCGTTTCCAAACTGACCGAAGTGTTCCAACCAATGCATATTTAAATGGTCAATATGTGATGCAATTCCGACCCAAAGTGAAATTTGTATACATTTTATATAGTCTGTTGTTCCGATTCAAGTACTGCAAATATTAGGTCACAAACACTTTAATGTAAATATGGAAATTTCTTCATCTAGTAATTTTGTTTCACATGAATACTGCAGTGTAATGATGAGTTGTAAAAGTGACATTTCAGATTACGTAATCATGATCGTCTACTGTACACTCGAACCAGCGTTGACGGTAGTAAGGAGTCAATGACTTATAAAGGGGAACGTGTTAGACCACTCAGTCATCTGAGGTTATAAATCACTCGATCACATGATACCATAGACTACTCAGTCATCTGAGGCCATATACCACTCGGTCATCTGAGGCCATAGAACACTCAGTCATCTATGGTGAAAGACCACTTTGTCATCTGGGGCCTTAGACCACTCGGACATCTGAGACCATAGACCACTTTGTCTTCTGGGGCCATATACCAATTTGTCATATGAGGCCATAGACCACTCGGTCATCTGAGGCCATAGACCACTTTGTCATCTGGGGCCATAATCGACTCGGTCATCTGAGGCTCTAGACCACTTTGTCATCTGGGGCCATATACCACTCGGTCATCTGGGGACAAAGACCACTCGGTCATCTGAGGCCATAGACCACTGTGTTATTTGAGGCCATATACCACTCAGTCATCTAAGGCCATAGACCACATTTTGTGATCTGGGGCCAAAGACCACGTTGTTATCTGAGGCCATAGACAAATCAGACATCTGAGACCATAGACCACTCACTCATCTGAGGTAACAGACCACTCGGTCATCTGGGGCCATATACCACTCGGTTATCTGAGGTCATTGACAACTCCGTCATTTGAGGCCATATACCACTCGGTCATCTGAGGCCATAGACCTCTTTGTCATCTGGGGCCATAGACCACTCAGTCATCTGAGACCATAGACCACTCGGTCATCAGGGGCTAAAGACCAATGGTTCATCTGAGGCCATAGACCATTTTGTCATCTGAAACCATATCCCACTCGGTCATCTTGGGCCACAAACCACTCGGTCATCTGAGGTCATGGACCACTCGGTCATCTGAGGCCACAAACCAATCAGTCATCTGGGGCCATAGACAACTCGGTCATCTGAGACCATATACCACTCCGTCATCTGAGGCTATAGACCACTCGGTCATCTGGAGCCATATATTATTCGGTCATCAGGGGCCATTGACCACTCGATCATTTGGGGTCAAAGACAAGTCGGTCATCTGAGGCCATAGACCACTTTGTCATCTTAGGCCAAAGAACATTCTGTTATCTTAGGCCATAGACCACTTTGTCATCTGAAGCCAGACGAACCAGTCATCTGAGGCCATAGACTACTCGGTCATCTGGGGCCAAATACCACTCGGTTATCTGAGGCCATAGACAACTCTGTCATCTGAGGCCACATACCATTTTGTCATCTGGCGCCAAAAAGCACTGGGTCATCTGAGACCATAGACCACTCGGTCATCTGAGACCATAAACCACTCAGTCATCTGAGGTCATAGATCACTCGGTCATCTGGTGTCATAGACCACTCGGTCATTTGAGGCCATGGACCATTTAGTTACCTGGGATTCGTATACCACTCGGTCATCAAAAGCCATAGACCACTCGCTCATCTGAGGCCACAGACCACTCCGTCATCTGAGATCATAGACAATTCGGTCTCCTGGTGCCATAGATCGCTCAGTCATCTGAGACCATATACCACTTTGTCATCTGAGGCCACGGAGCACTCGGTCATCTGGGACCTCAAAGAGCGAAGAACAATTCATAATCACTGAATTAAGATTATAACGGTAGAAATGTTATTTTTTGTCAACCATTGTTTCAATAACCCAATTTAAGGTTTGTTGTTTCTTGCGTTATTTTTGTAAAGACATACATTAGCTTTGTAACATAACTGCTAAATTTCTGAGAACTTAGCCCTTTTGATTAAGCTTGTTTGGAGAATTAGAAACAATTACATTTGAGACATATCACCGCATATCCAATTTTAAGAAAATTACCTTTTTTTTATAAACACTACGACTTTTTATTGAATAGTCCTAACCTTGTGATGTTAATAGTACATAATGAGGGGTATTTGAGTATTTTTTTTTTGCTGTGAAATTATGTAAGTGACATACCACCCAAACTTCTTTGTGTACGCTTTTAGAGAATTAGGTAATAATTGAGGATATGATATATTCGTGTCTATAAATTAAACCAACAAAGCATCTGAATGGATAAGGAAGATTTAGGTTACATTTCAAGTATCTTGTTTCAAATATAGTCATTTTTGCCGAGGATTTCGTTAGTGAACAGTTATTGCATAATATTTATTAGCTGTATATATTACGACCTTTTCTAAACCTCTCCTACGGGTGATCTAACAGATAAGAAACACTTCCTTCAAAACTGACACTATCTCTGTTAAAAACTGCAAAATCACTGGTATCTTTCGCGACGAAACTATTTTACAAAAATGAAATCCTAGATCATATTACGTATTAGACAAACTATGTTTATTTCTGATTAATATTTAAACTTTCCTTTTGAAAACTTTCTAAATATTTAAGATAACCTTTGGGTTCGATTAATCTATTTGCAATATATCAAGTTTATCTTTTAAATACGGACACTTTTTCATGTTTTAATTATAAGCACAATGCAAAATTAAGTTTACAAACAAAAACTCATTTCTATCGTTCGCTTCTTCAAATATTTTAGAACTATTTGACTAAACTTTACTGGATCAAAATAAATATATTTTCTTTATGGGGGTAGCGTGTTAGTGTGTATCTGTGTAGATCATGTAAAGTAGCTTTAATACTTGTGTATTTATCGCTACTATGTTTGCAGTGTGGCAGTTTTTAGTGATGTCTAGGACTGGGCCATCATGCCGCAGACATGTAGCATGATGTCTCACCCAGTCACATTATCCTGACACCAGGCCGTCCAGTATTAACACTAACCCTCTAAGGCTGTCTCAAGCAAGGCAGCTGTTAGCACCATTTTTAATGTCTTTGGCATGACTTGGCAGGGTTTCAAACCCGATACCTCCCGCATCCGAGGCGGACGCTCTAACCACTAGGCCACCGGAGCAGTTATGTGGTCATGGAGGTAGATGACTTCTGTTTTAAGTTTATATGATACGTTCTAGAATTTTATACATACATAGAGCACCATCTCTGTCATGTATACAATTTCCTCACCTCTTGTATTAGGACTGGAACTCTATTGTCCTTGGAAGTATTATCTGTGTAAGTGACATTGTCTGCATAATTCTTGAATACAATTTATAATCTGAGTGCATGCATACTTGTTGTGTCATGTTATACAAAATCTTCTGCGAATTATTCGGCTTGGAAGATTTATTTAAACTAACCCATTTACTTGATAATATTTATAAAAGTACCAATCAACACTAGAGGGTATGTCCTTGAAGGTCAAGGTAATAAATGAAGGTTGCGTTTAATGTGCTGTTTGTAACTCAGAATTGGACACAATTAGTGGAAATGAATATGGTAAACCGTTACTTATATTTACCTACCATGTGCATCGGTAGCATGATAGCATTAGTTATTGGAAGTATTTTAACCATAGCAGCAAATTTCTGGTTCGCTTGCCAATAGGCATATATTTCCTGATGTATATTTACAACAAATAAATGACTGGCGCGCGACGAAGTTGAAATGTCGCTGGACTTTACTATGAGTGCATTAATATTGTTATTGTGTATTTGAAACACAGCATAAAATCAGTTACTTTTGTTTCTTGTAGCATATTTCATATTTCTTTATTATTAAGCCTTAGGTAGGAAAATGAAATAAGTATTAATATAAATGTCACCATAGAGATAAAGCATCCCAAGGTCATGCAGTATTACTCAGGAAAAAAAATCGTTCTTTTTTCCCATATAAATACAGTTACATATTCTCTCATAAATTGTCATGCAATATGGATATGAGATGAGTATGTATGTATATCATTTTAACACAAAGACAGGGCTCATCTTTTTACTTGTATTAATTTATTTAAGAGAGAGAGAGAGAGAGAGAGAGAGAGAGAGAGAGAGAGAGAGAGAGAGAGAGAGAGAGAGAGAGAGAGAGAGAGAGAGAGAGAGAGAGAGAGAGAGAGAGTATGTGTACTATTTTATCACGTGTTCATATTAGCGTAGTCTAACCATTCATTTTGAAGAGGAAATAATTTCAAACGAGATAGATTGGCAGGCTTTAAATGCGATTTTCACATTCATTGAATCGAACAAAACCCAAAGTTTAAACTTTGTCAAAATTTCGAATCAAAAAGAGAAAAAGTAAAATTTTATAAATGAACGCGTTATAGCCATTTTATTATTTGGGCATCTATTTATACACATACAACATCATAATAATTCAAAGCCACTACGGTTTAAATAAAATCTGAAAATTATTATTGTATTTCTAGAGTCTTAAATTCAAGAAAGGCATCGTTTTACTCAGATTAAGAATAGGTCGTTAATTGATTAAACCTGATTCAATAAATAATGGGTCGTTAAGTATTATTGATTAAACCATCATCTGATTGGATCAATCATAGACTTATTGACTTGTTTAGAACAGTTTACAAAGGAACAGCGTTAAGCAAACTATTTCTTAAAATAAAATATAATTTTGTTGTTTTGTTTCTCTTCAAAATATGACCCCAAAAGGCAGGTTTCGTATGAATATATATATATATATATATATATATATATATATATATATATATATATATATATATATATATATATATATATATATATACACAAACACAAACACAAACACAAACATGCAGACGTAAGTCAGTGCAATATATCAATTGGACATATGTGTTGAACATCCTGCACAAATGTGTGCGAGAAAAGGAGAATAATTTGCCAATGTCGATGATCCTCCACCGCTGGAGTATATAGTACTGTTGTGTTTACTTCTGTTGTGTAAACGTTGCTTACACTAAATAGTGTGCTAGTGTCTATTAACGAAGCTAAGCATTAATGCTACGTGCTTCCATGCATGCATGCAGGCATGCAAGCATACGTACATTCATACATACATACATTCATGCATACATACATACATACATACATACATACATACATACATGCATGCATGCATGCATGCATGCATGCATGCATGCATGCATGCATGCATGCATGCATGCATGCATGCATACATACATACATACATACATACATACATACATACATACATACATACATACATACATACATACATACATACATACATACATACATACATACATACATACATACATACATACATACGTACAAACATACATACATACATACGTACATACGTACATACATACATACATGCATACATACATACATACATACGTACATACGTACATACATACATACATGCATACATACATACATACATACATACATACATACATACATACATACATACATACATACATACATACATACATACATACATACATACATACATACATACATACATACATACATACATACATACATACATACATACATACATACATACATACATACATACATACATACATATATTGAGTACTTTCGCGCTTTTTCTTTCCAGTTGCATAATGCACTGGTTGACCATTCTGCTTTGAATGTTAATAACCTCTCCTCACCTGCACCTGGTGACGTTTCATATTAATTAGGAAAGTCGCGGTTTACAGTGTTATGGCAAATGCAAGACACAAACTTTAGGCAATTTATTGTGTATGTCATATTAAACCAGATGATGGCCTTAGCGATATTAATATTCAAAGGATGGAGTACCCCATTAATCAAATCATGCATACATTATAACGTTAAGCGCCATCCTTGTGCCAAAAGTCTTCTCTTCAATGGAAAAAGACAGGTTTGGTTTCCTTGATGTCATCACTAAAGCAAAATATAGGCCAGTGCCTTGTCTGGCAAATCAAAAATGGCGAATGTATTCCCTAAACTCATCACTAAAGTAATATAGTAATATAAGTCATTGACTATTCTCAGCACCATGACCTGATTTGGCATTGATGGATTGGAATCTGATCTAGCTGGTTCTTACAGAATGCTGTCATCTATTGCAGACAAACTTGTCCGGAATGTATGAGTGAACTTATAGATAGTTTTAAAAAAAATTAAAAATCGCTATTTAATATTACAAAATGGACTGATTAATTTGACATTGCAACCTAATGGTTCAGACTACTATCAAGTAATTCGCCCACACAGGTCATCTAGTAGTCTGTATCCGTAACAGTCTCAAAGCTGCAGACTAATATTAATAAGTGGATCGAATCAGACACTGGTTCCCGAATCTCGTCACTAGTGCAAATATAGGCCTGTTGAGGGAATGGCAGACACCTAATGCAAATAAATCTGACAAAGACCGCATTTGAATTTGGTTATTTTTCACAAAGCCTCTAATCCTATACAAACACAACGCTTTGTTAGACGGTGTTCTAGCACAAGAGTTTTATATCACAACAATCTTAGCAAGATTGCCAATTATCTGGCCATGTAAACTCCATATATTTATCAGTGACCATTGATTATTTTATCTTTTTTATATAAATTTACTCTAATTCTGTTGCAGCGATTGTGCACAGATTGTGTCATTTAAACCAATAATACAGCTATAGTTCACGCAAAGAGAATTGGTTTAACACGGGGAGGAGGTATCGGTTTTTATCGCACGCAACTTTATATCAGAGATAATAGAGTGTATCCTTAACAGTGTTTCGTATTTCCATTTTGATTATTGAATTGCAGTTGTTTTTTTATTGTTATTATGGATGTATTTTATAAAACAGATGGAGGTGTACAATGATTAATTTTAGCTATTCTATTTTCAAAACGTGTAAAATTGTCGGATGGAAAGATTATTGCAAAATTATTGTTTCATTTTTACGTATGATTTTTTGCCGTATCAAATTTTGCTATTAATAATGCCTGCATTTAAATATCTTTTTCACCTTGGTATCTTTTACTCCTCTGTTTGGTAACTCTTTCATTGACATACCACAAAGAGTAAACCAACAATGGCATTTTACTTGCTATTAATATTTAATTAGGGACATTTTATCGATTTTCAATACTTCAGATGAGATGAATTAAATTAAATCGAAAGCAAATTGCTGTTAACAGTACTATTCGCATACAGTTAGCTATGATAAAAAAATATTGCTGCTTTTGTTCATGAATAAAAAATGTCAAAAAAAATTCACAAATATGAAAATAAACTTTTTATTACCGATTTTCTTTTCAATTTATGTATTTATACGTGAACATGTTTTTCGCACTCAACTGCTTCGAGTAACAAAATTTAAATTGACTATTGACTGCTTTCGAAAAGAACGTTTATGAACGGGGTCTTTATAAAAACAACAAACATGCCTACTGATTTTTAAATGAAATCATATCAATTGATTCTGCCTTTTCTGTCACACAAAATAATGGTACATTCCATAAGATAATGATATATTAAACAAGATAATGGTCTATTGCACAAAATAGTATTTATATTACACGAGATAATGGTACATTATTGAAAGTTTGTCATAAATTCTCAATTTTAGTTTTTCTTTCAACTTCTTCTGGTAATTCAATTTCATCTTTTTACTACATCAATAAGAATTTGTACACCAGTAATCTTAACTATCATTAGTACAATATGACTACTACTACCACTACTACTACTACTACTACTACTACTATTACTACTACTACTACTACTACTAATAATAGTAATAATAATACTATTACTACTACTACTACTACTAATAATAATAATAATAAAAATAATAATAATAATACTGCTACATCTGCTTTAAAAAATATTAAAATTACCAGTACTACTGCAACTATCACTACTACTACAGCTACTATTACTTGTTACTTAAATACACTATATATGAAAATTTGACACTGCATTTGCGTAAGCTTTGGTGTACTCTGAAATGAGGTTATCGCTTAATTTCTTCATAGAGTAGTTACTACTGATAGAAAGGTGCAAAAATCGAATTAACACGTATATAATGGAACGAGTGGTAGAAGATTAATTACCAAATATTTTTTTTTGTGAAATATCC